GTTAATTATAATTAATTTTATAGATTGTTATTATTATTATTATTATTATTATTATCTGTTTTCATGTTAACTTCATTAACGATGGATTCATACGTAAATGTTAAAAATTCTAGATAAAATTTATCAAATTTAGATTAATCATCATCATCATCATCATAGTTTATTCGATATCACCATATGCCACGTTTAACGATAGAAATGAAATCACCCTTTTCGATAATCGGATTAATTTGGACTTCATAATCTTCCCTACTTAAAGCTCGATTCGATCAAAGAGGATCTACATAATGGTGTTAGAAATCATTGGGAAGATTATGGTCTTTGAATGGAATCTTTATAACATTTCGACGATGACACGTTCGTTACTTTTCTACGAATTGACCAAGTTAAAATATTAATTATGTTGTTGTTCTTCTTGTATTTGCAGTATAGGACAATCTGATTGTTTAAAATCATCGTAAGCGATGGAAGGATTGCAGGAACAATCGTAAGAATTTCTTTTTTACGATCATATTATCGTATACAAGGTATTCAGGACAATCATTAATCTGAGAATCACCGAAAAAAAAGAACTTTAACGTCTACCTCGATCATGCTCAGCCCAAAGATGCAAAGAACCGGTGAGTTTTTAATCATTTTATTATAATCCATGACATGTTACTCCTATTTTTTTCTTTTTTCTTTTTTCTTTTTTTAGATACGTTACTCGTATCGGTCAATATTCGATTGATCAATAAATGATGTTGAAATGTTTAATGCAGAATACTGAATATGCATAAGAATTTTATTTATTGAGACATCAAATATTGAAAATATTCGATATACATATGCGACGTGTTATTCGTCCAGAAATTAAATTATTGAACATTCTATCGAAGACAACAAATAAAAAGAAATAAAAATAACGATATTTTATTTACGAGTTCTATAATGAAATAAAAAAAAAAAAAATAGAAAAACAAAAAAAATATACTGAATTTAGGTGAAGCATTGTTTGACCGAATATCCAATATTAAATGTTGCATCAGGGTTGCGTTCGGAAAATAATTTCGGTGTTATAAATGGCAAATAAAAAACACATGAAATAGCGTTGTTATACGACGTGGATTAGTTAGTGTGAACCCAGTGTCTTCATTTTTACGCATAGACTTTAAGTAAGATTATGTTAATTAGTTAAAATGTTGTATTAATTTCATCTCTTTAGAAAAAATCGATGTGAAGACGCAAAACAATTTTTTAATTCCAAGACGAAGAATATTGCACTTATATTGCAATCATAAACGTAAAACAAAAAAACAAAAAAAGAAAAAAGACAAAAGGAAAATCTAAATGAAAATATATATTTTTCATTAGATTTTCATTTTAATTCTAATTTATACACATTAGCTTTTTTTCTTTTTCTTTTTTAAGCTACGAGCTGGAAAGAACAATCCACGATTTAACAAAGACTGGAGAACAATTTTGTTGTTGGTCCTTTTTCTTATTTAACTCTTTCTCTTTTTCTCTCTCTCGTTCTTTTTCTTTTTTTTGTTTCTTTCATTCTTAGTTCAAACGAACGGAAACCTAGCGTGAAATTGCACTTCAGTAGTATACTTTACGTTTCCACGATGTCGTACCTTCTTAAATTCTTATTTTCGTTTAACGTACCATTTTACAATAATTCTCGAATAAACAAAACTATAACTATTAAAACCTATCAATTATATATCTTACAAATTGTTCTATAAAACAACAAAAATATTTACACACGCCACAAATGAGATTGAATAAATGAATAATTATTTATGTGAACGAATATATAAATACGAATTATTTTCGTATAAAAATATTCTCTCTTTTAACGAAGGAACAAATAATTACGTTTATTTAAAAATGCAATAAGTAGTATATTTTGGGAGTATGAAAAAATTGTTATCCTCGTATTAATAAATTTACGGAGAAATTACAAGAAAAGGAAAGATGAAAAAAAAAGATTATTAATATTCGGTACGTGCATATAGAATACAATGCATGATAAATCAAAATAATTCGACGATAGGGAATATTATTCGTATCACATTGAAATATTCAACAATATAAATATCATACTAATCTTCATATGTTCGCAATTATTGATTAAACCTATATAATACGTAAAATAAAATAATATATAATAGAACGCAATGAAACAATTCGCGATAAGATATACGAATGCATTGTTTCTCATTCATTTTTTAAATTATTTTTTCGTAACCACATCGAGATCATATGAATTCAATTTCAATAACGTATTCATTTTGTTGTATGTTCTTTTTTAGTGAGAATAAACGACTCACAGCTAGTGATGCTCTCGGAGAAAGCCCATTTTGATAATTCGATGACCGGATATTTACACAAACGAACCGCTGATTCAGCAAAATGGCAATTAAGATGGTTCGTCTTGTATCAGGTAATACAATGAATTATTTTTATAAAATATATTATATACAACTTTGTGTGTGTGTGTGTGTGTACTTCTTTACCACGTATCATCATATCACGAAATAGCCCATAATGTAAAGAAACGTTTGTGAAAGGGGACAGGGGGGGAGAATAGGTAGTAAACTCATCCGAGCTACGCAAATAAATCGATCATGAAAATGTATCTATGCATCCAGGAATAGCTGATTTACGAGGGAGATTTTCTTTTTTTTTTTTTCTTTTTTTCCTGCTAGCCAATAGTCAACACTTGTGTCGTGTGATTTATCGTGATATAAGCTTCGACAAGAATTGGATGATATATCAATGAAAATTGTTAGATAGTAATTTCTACAAGAGATAAAAGTACGCTTATAACGTTCGTCCGAACATTTTTTATATAACCGATATAATCTGATTAAAAAATGAATTATTAAGAGAAATTTAATAGTGGTCTTATATCGACACAATAAATTAATGTAATATAATCGATACAATATTATAAATGAAAGATCGATCTAATTTTAATATTTAACAATTATGCTTATCAATGTATTTTTTTTTCTATTTATAATTAACATTTAAACATTTGTTTCAATCTAATGATGGAAGTGAAACAAATTCAATGAATGCATAGCACGCAACTTATCATTTTAAATTGGATACAATAAATCGTTATTATAATATAATAATAACAAAAATAAGTTTTGTATAAATTACTATAGAATAATTGATAACAAAATAATAGAACTTTGTGCCGAACAAAAAGTACAATGCAATTAGAAATTCTATATTAATTAGTGTGTTATTACGTTTATTCACTATTTGTGTTTCTAATGAACTACATTCGTAACCAAAGAAACGTATTTATGTTTAGTTAAACTAATTAAAACTGGTTCAGTTTAAGTTGTAAAATAGCTTGAAATAACATCTCGCGCGTGTGTGTGTATGTGTGTGTGTATGTGTTCGTTGAATATGTTTTAACTAACCTCCAACATTATCAAATCAAAAACCAACAATAAGATTCGATTTTAAAGAATCCGAACTGACTTTGCTTTTCTATCGAAGAAATAAATATAGGAAAAAGCAACCAATTGTGTGAGAATCATTTGTAAGGTTTAATTATTTCTATTAATAAATTATATGTTCTTTTTTTTTTCTTTTTCTCTTTTTTTTTGAAAAAATCATTCGAATTATTTTAATAGCACTAACGATTCGTAAACTGAAAGAATTTATATTTTCAATTATAATTGTAGTATCTCTCTCTTGTATATTTAGAAACCCCATATAATATAACACTGAACGAAATTGATATCAATGGTCGTTTGATACTTGGTGTTTCAGAATCTGTTATTCTATTACGAAAGCGACACTTGTTCACGACCAAGTGGCGTCATTTTGCTAGAGGGCTGCTATTGCAATCGTCTCATCACCGCTAAAGGCAAAGAACCGGATAAACAAGTACGTATTATTTCTTTTGTTATCAGTTTACTTCGAAAACGTCTCTTCGATGAAGAATCCTTCCCCCCAAAAAATAAAAATCTCAAAAGAAAAAAAAAAAACCAACATGTTACAAAGAAATTTGATTAAAGGGATACTAGTAACCGTGGAACTCGTTTCTATTCTTGTTCCAATCATTTATTTAAATTTTTTTAATTTCTATATTTTATATACACACACACACACACAACGTTAGTCGATCGCCGTTCGTATATCAATTTACGCGAAAAACTTTTAACAAAAAACTGATTTAAAACAATGTATGTTATCGTTAAATTGTATGTTTATATATTGGCACAGTAACGAAATCAAGTTTAAAAATGCCATCTAAAAACATCAAAGAAAAATCTATCAAAATTATTTTCTATTAAAAATATGCGTTAATAGGTAATGTAATATTTCAACCAATACATATATATGTGTTAAAACAATCTGAAATATAAAAAGAGTGCATTAGAATATTATAATAATTGGTAATTAATCGAAAGAAATGTCTATTGTTGTTAAAAAGCTCGGAGTATATGTTCTGTGATCCGTCTTCCTCGAAATTCACCTTGATACTGGCACATTCTCTTCTATGAAAATTCTTTTATTCAAAGTTGTTTATATGACTTTCCGAATGTTGCGCATGTGTATAAAATCAATAATCCACCTAATCAACAAAATTTAAGATTATAACATTCCGATTTCAGCATTTTTATCTATTTTGTCATTTTTTTAACGCAGTGCTGCGCAGTGATGACTTCTTCGGTAAAATTTTTTCCCGTAATAAAAGTATATCGATCTACTAATGTGAATTCAAATCTCGCTGTCTCATTTAAACAATTGTTTTTTTATGCACTGCAAAGAAAATTGCAATTCTTGAAAAAAAAGCAAAAAAAAAAAAAGAAAAAGAAAGAAAGATTGTCTTTCGTTAACTTAACTTTTTTTCTTCTATTTTTCTATACATTTTCGAATGATTCGACGTAGTATTATTCAACGTCGAGAAACTTGTCCGACCAATCAAATCGATTCGATCAAGTGTGTTTCTACGTCTGATCAGTATAGTTATCACTCGGTGACAATTTCATTCGCTATATTTCATCGAGTTCACCTGACAATTTCAAATCTCAATCAATATTATCCACATAGTCAATTTGTTTTTAATCAACACACACAAATCAATGTGTTAATTTATTTAAGATTTCAATTTCTATAATCGATAATATCAATCAAAAATATCGTGATTTTCGTAAGCAATAGAGAAAAAATAAGTATGATGACGACGTTTATCTACGATCAACAATTAAACGTTCGTATTCTTGAATTCTATTCTATTTTATGTGATTTTCATAAAAAAAAATAAAAAATAAAAAGGAGGAGGGAACGGTCAACGTTCAAAAATTTTTGTCACGATTTTAAAATCACATAGAATTTTTGTCACGATTTTAAAATCACGTAGAATTTTTGTCACGATCTATTATTGCACGTTGGTGATCTAGTTATATCGTACTATGGTATTATTTTGATAGCTTTTATCGAAAGTTTACGCGTATTTCGTAATATTATGCATGCATTATGTGGTTTTATCTAAATCCTATTATACTAAGAATAAATTTACGTCATATATTATTATTACTATAATAATAATAATAATAATAATAATAACACAACATATATTTCATAGATATGTTATCGAAATATTGAACGAGTTTAGAGAAGAAAATAATATTGTAGGGTGGGAGAGGATAAAATAAAAAAATAAAAAAAGATATTAATTGTCGTAGGTAAATATGATTGTTAAAAGGACAGAAACCATAACAAGAAAAATTATTGTCTTTGTCTGATATATCCGATTAAGAGCTCGTTTTTGATGTTAAAACGCAATCGAGTATCGATTTATAATCGTACTTTCGTCAATCACGTTTCGATATATATGTTTTGAACATTTCCGTAAGCTGTGTTGAAGTCGAGTTATCGACATCTAACGCGATCAAACATTTCCCTGACAAATTGAAAGACGGTTATCGATCGTTCGTTATGATATATATATATATATATATATATAGACGAGTATATTTTATCTTGCATTAAAGATCGAACGGATAGTGTTTATCTTTGAAAAGAAATAAAAAGAAAAAATACGGGGAGATACACCACGACTTAGATGATTTCCATTGAAAGGAATAAAAGAAAAATGAAATATACGCAGGTATATATACAATGGAACGTTAGGAATAAATTGAAATATTTTTTCTTATATGTATTAGATTGATTTCGATGCAAATTTCATCTCCCTTCAACTCTTCATCCATTCCCTACCCCCGACCCGACCACCGCGATATATTTTTCTTTATTCCTTTCCCGAGAATTGACGACAACGACGATAAAGAAACTCGTTGCATTCCCCATAAGAAAAAAAAAAAAGAAAGAAAGAAAAAAAAGGGAAAACTCGTTTACAAATTTGCTTATCAAATTACGATTCATCATTTCTTTTTTTTGTTTTTCCCCCATCTATACGGCTAAGAAAACGTTTTATCTTGCCAACTTGTTGATCGATCATTCCGCAAACTTGTTTGTTTTTCTAGAAAGAACAAAAAAGAAGAAGTAGAAGAAGAAGAAGAAAAAAGAAAAACTTTATTTCTTTTCTTTTTATTTTTCTTTCGGGGGGGGGGAGGGTGGGGAAGGGAAGAAAAGGTGGAGAGATAAAAAGGTATGTGCATGCGTGTATGCGTGGGTGTGTGTGATCGTGACGTTAGAAGGATTTCTTTGTTTTACACGATAATTTCTCCCTTAAGAAGACGAATAATATTTGAAATACACTTTGTGAATTTGGACGCGATACTTAATTATTTTTTCAATCATATAATATGTTAAAATTTTATTCTCACATTTTGAAACGTATTCTCATTTTCATTCGTCACCGATTTCAATGTTTTTTTCCTCCTCGTATTCGACATTTTCTTCCAATCGCATTTTGCGTATCTCTCGTGGTCTCATAAATTTATATATTTATATTAGATTTGCATTTTTTATACGATGAAATGTGTTATTTTATTTTTCTTTTTTTTTATTACGTATTTAAATAAACGTTTAATAATGTAGGTCATTGGGTATTCATCGTTATATAACAAAATTTACATCACTTTTTTTATATTAGAATTTTACACCGTTGCAAATATACTCGGAGTTTTTAAAATTTACAAACGTATCACAGATAAATTCATTTGAAATATTATCAAGGTACATTTATCGATATATATTAAAAAAAAAAAAAAAAAGAAAAAGAAAAAAACCATAGAAATTTGATATCACCGTGTACCGAAATTACAAAATATCTTCAATCAGAATTTGGTGTTCACAATATTTGAACATTATTGAAATTCGATACTTGAATTTCTACTCTATAAACGAGATACATGCGTTTCACATTTGCAACGAAAACAAAATTTCATATCGCTACAATAACAATTTGTATTAATAAAAAAGAAATTGTCATAAATTATATTACCAAAAAAATATTTCCATTACATCTTTTTCCAATTTTCTTGTAATTTATTTTTCGAAAGAAAATATACGTATACGCGTATCATCGCATCGTGCAACATGCAAGAGTAAGTATGCGAGTTTATATACGAGATATAAGAAACTCGTAGAAAAATTGTAAAATAATAAAGGAGAACAAAAAATGAGGCGAAGAATACGTTTATGGGAAAATATATGTTATGTGCGTGTACGTAAATACCTGTATATATGAGAAATTAGAAACTTATAGAAAAATGATAAAGAGAAATGGATGGGATATAAACCTCAAGGAAAAAGAAAAGAAAAGAAAAAGAAAAAAAAAAGAAAAAAGAAAGAAAATAAATAAAAACTAGATCTCGTAAAGATCATATATCTTTTTTTATCTTGCACTTTGTTTTTATCGTGAATAAACAACTACACGCATGCTCGTGCATACGTGCACAATATAGATGAATCCTACGTAATATTAGTCAGAATGTTAGTAAAAAGATTTGTTGAAAAACAAAATAAATTGAAAACAAAGTGATCCGTAGAAACTCTACCGAAAAACATTTTAGTCATTTCGACGAGAGTTTGACGTATCTGTAACACGTTAGAAGAGTATCATCATATAAAAGCAAACAGCGTGTGTGTTGTGCGTTAACTAATACCAAAACAAAATGCGACGGATAAAAGGAACTTGACGTTGGTTCGGATGCACTTTCTGCATTTCTCTTTGAATACTTGTACGTATTTCAGCTTTCATGGGACATAAAATTATCTCGTTTTTTTTTCTCTTTCTTTCTCTCTTTCTTTCTTTCTTTCTCTCTCCAAACGAAAAATGTTCATCGTCGAGTTTTTGAAACGCAAACGAACGACGTGCCAGCTACCATTTAAAAACGACGAGAAAATGATAGAGAAAGATAAAGACGAGAGAAAGAGTGAGTTTTGAATGAGAGAGAAAAAGAAGAGAAGGGTTAAATAAGGGAGATAGCGAATGTGGGAAAAGGGAGAAGTTTATAGCCGGGGAGGGAGGGGGGGAAGAGAGGATGCAACGTTAACGCGTCGCGAGTAAAAGCATCATCGATTTTTTTTTCTTTAAAAGGTCGCAGCACGAGATACATCCATCCACTTTTTCCCCTTTTTTTCGAACACCGAGGAAGATGACAATCTATCCCCCGCCACCCCCCTGAGACTACTTTTCTTTTTATTTATTTATTTATTTATTATCCTAATATTTCCTCTTGACAATCATCCAGTCATTTTTTCTTCGATCGAATTTTTCCTAATTTTAGCGATATACAAATGTAAAATCGAATATTTCAAATGATACGTGTCGGAAATGAATATGATCCAAAAAATTACGATAATAACAAATAATTTTCTATTTTATTTTTGATTTATAAATTAATGAAAAATAATAAATTATAATATGAACGTCGTATACGTAAAAAATATAAATTAACAAAAATAACATA